GTAAAACAACAACCTACCACTTTGTCTGTAATTTGGTAAGCCCCCCTATTACTATGATATCCTTCTTTTCCACTTTAAAATAATAATAAAATACAAAAATAAAACAAAAAAAGTTATAAAAGTATGTGTAAAATGTGCATTATATACTTTGTAATAGAAGTTTAAATATGTTCATTTAAACTCCAATATGTCATCATTATCAGGCAGTTCCAAATGTTACCCAATATGATTCTCAGTTTGATAGTCTAATCAAAATCAAAATTATTATATAATAAGCCATACATTGTTTATCATTTTTAATTTCTAGTAACCAAAATGTTTCTAGGTTTGAGCACTACAAAAACCCATAGGTTGCTACTAGCATTACTGTTTCTCAGTAATGAGGTCTTAATTTCAAACAGTTTCATAGAAGAAAGTAAATACTTAAAAAAAACTCATTTGCTCACTAGTTACACAAAAACACACAGACAACTCCTCTAAAGTATAACTGCATCAAATAATATATTAATTAACTGGAAAAGTCAATCTTCTTGCTGAAGAATATCACTTATACTGGGGTGAGATTTAAGTACTAAAGAGAATCTGATTCAGTAATGACTTACATTGTTTTGTTCACCACTAGAATATGTATCAGTAGTAACTTGAAAAATAGGAATAGATAATGGCCCATAATGGCTTTAAGCTCACAGTCAAGCCCAACAATCTCAGCAGGCTATGATGTCTAAATAATACAACTAGACCACCAAAGTACAATGTCAGGATCTTGATAAAAGCAAGAAGTAAAAGAATAAATAGGTCATACTGTTCTAATGTGAAACTCTAGAAAAACTAGCAGCATTTGTATGAAGGGCCTCAGAAAAACAAAATTATTTGTCATCTTGATTAGGTAATTATTTTATCATAATCAATCCATCTTGATGACCAAAACACCTGAGATGCTATGAAAATTTGAAAATATTATATACATCTTTGTCTTTCTCAAGATTCTTATGTAAACACTTTGAAAAATCTATCATCTTAACTCCAAGCATAATGAGGGATAAGTACAGGATATTAAATTTCTAAATTCTAGTTTTTGTTTGCCAGCAATGTGAATACTCTGCCATGTGAGTACTAAAAACATAAACTACTATAGAATACTTAGCTTCTAGACCAAAGATCATCATAACACAAACACAGTTTTAAAAATACGGTTATTTCCATACCTCCAAGTCTGCAGATTATATTCAGTGAAATACACTGGGGATTTATCCTTCACTGAAATATTTTGAACAACAAAAGGCATTTTAATGAGTTGAGAGCTATGACTGATAATTTGTCCATGCTACTAACTTTAGTTTGCTTTTAAC